TTATTTTGAAGAGTTACTCACCCTTGAGTAGCTCTTATTAAAAATAGAGGTGTGGTCACAAAGCGTGGATGTAGCGCGGTGGGTTAGGCCGGCTATAGAGCATGCTCAGGACGTCCTTCCTGGTGGGTTAGGCCAGGAGTGGGAGTATGATTTCATGCGGTTTTTGTGAGGGGTCCTGTTATGTGACAACGTTTTATGTTGGGTTTGTTGTGGTCTTACTTATGTCTTGTTGGTTATGTACTTTTTCCAAAAAGCAAATTGTTTGTGGTATGGGTTAGTCTTTCGACTTTTTTGTGTTTTATTATTTCTTTCTAAGACTTTGTACCAGATCTTGCACCAGACTTGTACCAGACTTTGCACCGTCTGCTCGTCACGCTATCTTATTTTCGGCCGGATAGATTCGTGCAACTTCTTAGTCTAATACCGATCCTAATCTTACTCTTATACTATCTAGTCTCAGGTTGTTTAACTAGTCTCTGCTAGGCTCAATAGATCTAGGGTATACTGGTTTATTGCGGCTGCTGAAGTGCTCGGGAGAGTCCAACTAATTTCTAAGTTAAATTCAAATCTCTCTGGTGCTGAAATTACAAGTAACTTCAGCACTTACAAATAAGTGGGTTGTTAGTTAGATGGATCATGATTGGTTAATATTAAATACTTTACATTGGTAAAACATTTAATTTATCCAATCATAAAATGTAGTTTAGATCAGGTTCCACCGTTTAGATCAGGTTCCACTATCCTTGTGCTTCTGTACCTCAATCAGTCGGAGCCAATTCGCGTTTCATTAATGACATGGAACTTTAGGATCGATACAACTAGATGTCACTGAAACCTGCCACCAAAAAACCTCCCAATCCAAATAGAAATAATTACCCCTTCATGGTCAGGTATCTAAATAACTAAAACACGCGAACGCCATTAAGTACAGTGTTGGGCCCCCGGTAATTTAGATTTTGTTAGACAGTTTAAATTTGATTCATTTCAGAGGGATCAATCTGAAACTCGCCTTTCCTCAACATAATCAGGTTTACTGCCCTCACGTAATTAACTTAAGAAGCTAACGACATCCAGAAACTAAATCTGGATATAACTTCATTAACGCTCTGCATAGTAGTTCACTTGAAATGGAAGCTCTTGCTCTTCATTCTTGAATTCTCGTAACCACTTTGAAATCGGTCAGTAAGAAGACAGCTCTACTCAATATTTTAGACAAATTGCGATTAACGATGTTGCTCTATTCCAATCTATAACGTTTTTCCTTGTTGTTAATCGTTAATTTTGCTCTTCTGATTTCTCACTCTTTTGTTTCAAAAGACGCAAAAGTTTTGAGCCTGACGGGACCAATTCGACCAGGGGCGGATCTAGGATTTTCTCGAGGGGGGGGGGGGCGTATTTTCAAAAAAATTTCCAAAACTTTGACGACTTTTTTTTTTAGGTCGATCAGATTGATTTTCAGAGCTCTCCCAAAGCAGTAAGAAGACCGTTTTTGGGCACTTTTTGGAAAATTTTGACAAAAAAAACGCGTTTTTTTGGCGCGCGCTCCCCCTCAAAATTAGTATATATTGGCGCCGAAGGCACCTTTAGAAAAATTTTAGGGTCGGTCAGCCAAAAATGGAATTCTGAAAAAGTATCAAAGGGGGGACCCTTTGGGTCGGCAGGGGGTCGAATCCCTGAGAAAGGGCGTCCGCCCCCCCCCCCGCCCCCTCCCTAAATCCGCCCCTGAATTCGACCATTGCCAAACTTCAAATTGAACCAAACTAAATCAAATTTCTTTCATATGACCGACTGACACAATTATTTTTGTTCGAATCGCGACTGAAAAGACATATTAATGATTTATCACTCAACCCGATGCGATGATTACTTTTGGAACTTAATTTTGGGTGGAAAACAAAAAAACTAAAACGCAGTCAAAGTTTTGCCAGTTTTTTCAAATGGTCGTAGCCACAAGGACAGCTGGTTACTGTGCAAGCATCACAGAATGTTCCGACCAGTTTAAAATATATATTCTGTTTGGTGTCGGGATTTTCTGCGTGGTATAATAAAAAGATCTGAACTAAAACAAATAAATTAGAATTAATTGACAGTCATAGTAATTTAGGCCCATTGGAAGACATTTTGTATTAAGTTACCTACAAAAAAAAACGAAAAAAAAATTGTTAAAATTTAAGTAATTTTTCAAATTTATTTGCAGAAATTTTTAGCTTTTCTTAATTTTGAAAATTGGCGCTTAAATTTCAAAAGATAACTCTACCTAAGTAAAACTATTATCATGGCTGGAATTAAGCAAAAATCAGCTACCTTAAGCCTGCATGCTCACCCTATTAGCTCGAAACTAGACCATAAAATCCAAAATTGTATACTGGTTTTTCTCATTATTGCGGGAAGAATTTTTTCGATTTTCTTTTTTGTTTTTAGAATCACGAATGAAAGGGTTTTAGTTGATTTATCTTTCGACTCATTCCGATGATTTTTGTGTTACTTGATTTTGCGTGGAAAAAAGGTTTAAAAAACTGAAACACACCCAATACAAAGTTCCTCCTCATTTGCAATGGTCGGAACAATTACGATAAGTAACAATTTTTGCGCCATCTTTAAATGCGAGAAGAAAACGGACACTCGTTACCTATTGAAGGGCTCAAAAATGAATAACTTGATTGCACGCTGATAAGCAGTAAAATGATGCAAATCTGCCATACCATTTCTTATGTCATGCAATTTCTCAACAGCAAAGCTCTTAACCGAACTGAGCTGCTGTGTTGATTATTGTTTCAAGATCATTGATCGAATTGCTGTCTCGATAATGGTTTCAAGGACTTTAAGCCTGACCGCTGCTCTATCACCAAAAACCAAAATTACCATCATCCAAGTGCTGCGACAACAAAATTTCTCATGGACTGGCTCGATTTAACAGCAAAGCTCCAAACTCAATTGAGCTGGTGTGATGAGTTTATTTTCAAGGTCTTAAGACGTGACCGCCGCCCTATCACCGATTTTACCGTCATCTAAGTGCTGCAACTGTAGAATTTCTGAGGGACTGGCTGGGTTCAACAGCAAAGCTTTAAGACCAATTGAGCTGCTGTATTGATTACGATTTCAAGGTCTTAAAGCCATACCGATATCCTATCACCAAGATTACCGTCATGCAATTGAGTATCAAATTTTGTGCCGCACTCTCGTGTATCCTGTAAGACCTTACAAAAATCTGCTTCAATATCTGTAAATTATCGGCAATTCAACAGATAATATATAGAATAAGTAATATCGGTTAAACATTTTTCGGTTAACATTTTTAGCAATACGGTTTCCAACAATCTCAAAAATCTATAAACATTTTGATGGCAAACTGACCTTAATCGGACAAACCAGTAGTTTTCAAGGCCTTTTGTATAAGAAAATCTAATTTTAGCTTTTTCACTTTCGCGCTATAATGACGTCATTAATTTAAGATTATTTTAAGCGCGAACATCTTCCGCGCCCAAAGGAGCGAAAACGGGTGCGAGTTTTACGGCCGATCGAGTTAGCTCCCCGGAGCGGGTGGTAACTACGGCGGATCGAGCTATGTTGTCTTTTCCGTAATTAAGGGTTTTTATACGAGCCAGAGGGTAGTGTCCCCTTGGGCTGCGTTCGTCAACAATCCACACTAAATCCCCTGTTTTTAAAATAACGTCACTATCGGAGTGCCACTTACTGCGTTTATTCAGCGCTGGCACATAAACTCGCAGCCAACGACTCCAAATTGCGTTGGCGTAGCTTTGCGCTCGGATATATTGCTTTCGATGGTCGAAGTGCTCCTGGAAAGAGAGAGAAGGAAAGCTAGTACCATTTCGGCCTAACAAAAATTGATTAGGAGTTAACACCTCGAAACCATCCGGACTTGCCCTTACTGATGTTATGGGTCGAGCGTTCAGAGATTGTTCTACAAGACAGAAAGTTGTTTCAAGGACTTCGGGAGTGAGCTTTCTACTTCCTATTATTGCGTAGAATACCCTTTTACAACACCGAACGAGACGTTCCCAAGAACCACCGTGATGCGGGGCTGCCGGGGGTTAAATTTCCACTTAATACCCTTTTTCGACAGCTCTGGGGGTGCTTGTCCGTTCTACGACTGAATACAATTTAAGAGTTCGTTTTCGGCTTCCACAAAATTGGTGCCGTTATCAGACCAAATGACTGATGGAGTGCCGCGACGGGCAATGAATCTTTCGATTCCCATTACACACAAACTCGTGTCCATGGATGAGACAATCTCAATATGTACAGCTCTGGTGGTCATACATGTAAAAAGGAAGCACCATCGTTTTTCAGAACTCCTCCTGATTGAGACGTAAAAGGGTCCAAAGTAATCAACACCACAGTTTGTGAAGGGAGGCTGGCGGTAACCAAGCCTTTCAAATGGAAGCTCTGCCATCATAGGTGTGACAGTTTTGGCTTTGCGCTTCCTACATATGAGGCAGTGGACTTCAATGGACTTTAATAAAGAGCCAAGGTTCAAGATTGCGACTCTAAGTGAATTACAGCTCGCAGGTAGTCTAAGAACTGGTGCTGATAGCGATAATGAATATCATTTACGAACAATTTCACCAGAGAATGCCTTCCATCAAGGATTATGGGGTGTTTTGTGTCATATTCAGTTTCAACTAGGCAGCGAATTCGCCCAGTTGAACAAATGAGGAATGCAGGACCCATAAACGGTGCATATTGTGCAATACGACATAACTTTTTGACGGTTTTGTTGCAGGACAGGAGTAAATATTCCGCTTCAAAAGATTCCTTTTGGGAAATCAACAAAAGTCGTTGTTTGGCGGTTTCTAGTTCAACCGGATCGGTTATTTCCTTGACTTTAGTGCGGTAGTGCCGGTGTTTCGGACTAAGTCTGAGCAAGAAGGCAACCACTCGCTGGAGTTTACGAAACGAGCTGAAATCTTCCCATGCAAATAAAATGGGTTGTTTTTGTTTTTGTGCAACATTTGAAAAATTAGAGGCCTGCTCTAAACCTTCATTATGGTCACAAGCAGGACCAGCCAGGCGGATTTTCTTAAGTATTTCTATGCTCGGCTTGAAAGGCCACTCGCCACTTTTCAGCAGACTCGGCCCGTTCACCCAGCTGCTTGTTTTTAAGGACTCCGCTGAGATTCCTCTGGTTCCCGTATCAGCAGGGTTGTCTCCACTTAAGACGTGAAACCACTGGTCTACAGTCGTACTTTCCAGAATCTCTCCAATCCGGTTAGCCACGAACGTGGGTTGCTTACTACCTGAGTTTAACCACTGGAGCACAGTGGTGCTGTCAGTTCACATGAACGTGTTTAACACAGGAATGGTTAGAGCTTTGAGGACATCTTCCTTCAAGCGTGTAGCGAGTAACGCGGCCTGCAGTTCAAGCTTCGGGATGGAAAGCGCTTTCATGGGCGCGACGCTAGCTTTTCCAAAGACGAAGGCAACTTGTGTTTCGAGTGAAGTTTTCGCACGGGCGCGAAGAAAAGCTACAGCACAAAAAATTTCTTCTGAGCTGTCACCGAACATGTGTAACTCAACCCAATCAACTGGTGCGGAGAAGTAGCTGCACTTTATACTCATTTTTCCTAGAGATGGCAAACCAGAGTGCCAGGCAAGAAATTTTGTCTTGATATCAACGGGTAGCTCAACATCCCATTGTTGGCCATGAATGCGCCAGATTTCTTTCAATAATAATCGCGCTCTAACGGTATAGGGCGCTACGAGACCTATGGGGTCGAAAACGGAAGAAACAAAACTTAACACTGTTCGCTGTGTTATCGAATTTTTAAGTTCACGGTTGACACTACGGCTTACGACCAAAGTGTCGTGAATATGGTCCCACTTCAGACCAAGAACATGAGAAGAATTATCCCCACAAGTTACAATATTTTTACTTTCCCGTTGCGGCGCGCTTTGGGGCGGGTTTAACTCTTTATTAATTTTAGTTACTTTACTTACGAACTTAGTTAATTTAAAGCCACCTAGAGCTAACAGAGTAATCAACTCTTGACTCATTTTAAATGCAACATCAGGGTCCTTAAAGGAGTCTAGGTAGTCGTACATATAAAACTTCTCTAGAACTGCGGACGCTGCGTCAGGGAACATCGCCTGATTATCCATTGCAGTCCGTTGCAATGCATAATTTGCACACGTTGGCGAATCTCTCGCTCCAAAGATATGTCTGGTGTACTGGTGTACAACCGCATCGGCTGTGGGGTCCTCCCGCTACAGAAAACGAAGAGATGGTTGGTCCTCTGGAAGGACGCCGAATTGTAGGAACATCCCTTCAATGTCAGCCGATACGGCAAAATGATGTTGACGAAAACGGAGGAGAACGATTACAAGGTTTTGCAGTAGGTCGGGTCCTACTAGCAACGATTTGTTCAATGATGAACCGTGGAATTTAGACGCTCCATTAAGGACACGCCTCATTTTACCAGGTTTGTTTGGGTTCACCACGGGATGGTGAGGAAGATACCACTCGCGTATGCTGCGGTTCGAAAAATTATGGGGAGGAACTTGAATCACGTATTCTTTACTCAAATCATCTTCGATAGTTTTTGAGTATTGATCCCTTAAGTGAGGATCTTTCGCTAAACGTTTTTCCAACGATTTTAACTGAACCAAAGAGGAATAGTAATTGTCTGGTAACATGATAGATTTTTCTGCCCAAAGCATACCTACAGTGTATCTTGATCCATCATGGACGGTGGAAGAATCAAGTATTTTAGCCGCCCTTTTGTCCACGGCTGAAGGGGAGTCGACCTGTTTGTATGCTCCGTATGACTCTATTTCATACCAGCGTTTGATTTGACAAGCTAGTTCGGTATCATCCGTATTGCACTTGAAACAAGTAGAAAGGAAACCAGTAGATGTCGGCATTGGGCCGCTCAAGACCCAGCCTATTGGAAGGCGGATCGCGACGGGCGAAGTTTTTGATCGTACTTTATCTTGAAATACTCCTCAGGCCTAATAGCATGGAAGGAGTCTTGACCAATTATGAAGTCTACATCGGCGTAGCTATACACAATTGGTTTGATTGGAGCAAGGTACGGATACTTGCTCTGTAAGGCAGGGATGTTGACGGTATCGGTACCGACTTTAAGTTCATCCTTGACAAATGCGGTTAATTCGAGTATGTATTCGAATCCATCGAAGTTAGAAGATACCTTCATCTGAACTTGTTTCGTTTTAACAACAGTCGTTGTGTTAATATCATTTACTGTGAGATCCAAATCTCTTCCTGAGAGATTCAGACGTTTGACTAATTTAGCCGATATCCAGGAATGACTAGATGCTGAGTCACACAATGTTAAACAATCAGCACTCTGGAAATCGGTGGAAACTTGGAGCTTGATTATGGGCAGTAACCCTTTCGATATTATGATTGATGATTGGTCGTTCGAGATTGTGCAACTTACATCCAACGGAACGGGATTAATGTCTGCATGATTCGAACTTGCGTTTGGTATATTCTCGCTGAATGATTTTCGATCAGCGTTTGTGCTAGCTTTATCCGGCTCTGCATTAGATCTTGTTTGACCAGCGTTGGGTCTTGTATGGCTATCCTTTTTGTCCGGATTTCGACTAGTAAAAACACGTTCAGCACCATGGAGAAGTACACTATGGGTGCTAGTGCAACCTGTTTTGGTGCATTTCTTTGCTCTGGGACATTGCCGGAATGCGTGGTTCCCTTGTAAGCAGGAGAAGCACAATTTGTTTTCCGCAGAGAAGTTTGCACGTTGTGTTGGAGTTTTCTCCTTAAACACAGAGCACTTCCACAAGGCATGTTTCCCTTGCAGAGGATACAAGAAGGATATTCAAACTTTTTCTCAATTGTACTTGTCGAGGCAAAAACTCTCGTTACAGCTTTAGTTTTGGATGGCTCTTTGATTTTGGGCTTTCCAGGCATATTTTTCATTTGCTCATGAGCTTCTGCTTTATCTAATAATCAATTGTTAAAGTCAATTAGGTTGGGGCGTGACCAATTACGTTTCACGGCAAAAAGTGACCACGATTCTCTCATGTTTGGTGGAATATTCGAAAGAGCTTGATTTAACAAAGAGACGCTTTTCAAATCTTCTTCATAATCAAGAGACCTAAAGACAGCCACTAGACTTGAAATGGTCATCGAGAAGCTAATGATGTTCTCAGAGTTGTGCATTCAAAGCTGCGGGAAACTGGACAACTTATCAAGGAGGGCCGTAATTACATTTTTGGCTGGCCAAACTTTCTTTCTAGAGTTTTCAGAGCATCCTTATACATTCTTCCACTGTATGCGAACTCTGCTATGGCTGACTTAGATTTTCCCGTGACTAATGTTTTAAATAAGTTGACTTCACGTCATCGCTTAGGGACGCTGCGTCTCCAGTACTACAAAATTGGCCAAACCATTCGTGCCATTGGAGCGGGTTGCCATCGTACTGGGCCAGCTTCCATTCTGGAAGAGGATCCTTCTTTGAGACTGACAGAGCTTGGACTAAGTCATTCAGTGTCACGGCTTGCGGTTGGTGTTGCTAGGATCAGCTGCAAAAGGTTGCTGCTGATATATGTAAGTGTTTTCAGCCGATGCGTCGTGTTTGGGAAACCCATAGTAAACGGTACCACCACTTGATACGTGGGGGAATTGGTGCTGAGATATTGGCATTACGGATGAAAAAACACCAACTGATGGGTTTGTGTTACCATCACTTGTTAACCCAGTGATACATTGGGTGATTGCGGGTGGTGTCCACTTTGACATTAGTGGCAAATTGGGCTGACTAATAACGGCAGACTGTCCGCTAAACGGATTGTTCACTGACGCAGGATTGCTATACACGTTATGTGATAGCAAGTTTTGATTTCTGCAGATTAAATTTGCAGGTGGTTGTGACACAATGGCATGGGGGTGTATCCAGAGTATTGATTGGAGTTGGCGGGCATGTTTCCACTAACTCGGGAATTGCTATTAAAGTTGTTGACGGGGATATGTTGAATGGAAGACGAAGGATGAGGTACAGAGAAGTAACAGTATACCGGAGTATTGGTAGCTGCTGTTCCAGCTGGATTAAATAATGATGTATTATTGTTTTCGCAAAGTTTAGCGTTATTTGAAATAAGCAATGACTGCGTTTCGTGCTCAGGATTAGTGGATACAGCGTGGTTGATTCCATCGCCATCGCTGAAGGAGACGGTTGGTTGATAGGGATAACATTGTTGATCACAAACAAAAGTCTGAATCGGCAATGATCGCCGAGGTGAAGCTCCCGCTGTGGACACATTTCTGTTTTGATGCGAATGACTTTCTATATTTATACAGGTTTCAAACTTTGAAGAAGACGGAACTACCTCGGGCCCTTTTTGGTTTTCTAATGCATGATCAACCCAATCGTTTACCCTGTCAGAACTACGATCAACCGAAGACGCCAGCTCAAGATGCTGATCTATTTCAGACTCTTCGAGGTATTCAGTTTCAACCATTTTTGCTTCAGCTACTTTAATACAATTTTCTTCGCTTAATCGTTCTATTTCAAGCCGACTTTTTTCGATTCGTAAACGATATTCTTGCTCTTTACGGTCAATTTCAAGTTTAATTTCTTGTTGTTTTCGTTCCATCTCAATCAGATGCTGTTGCTCTTCAATGATGGCTTCTTGTTGTTTCAGTCCTAAGGTTGCTTCATGTTGTTTTTCCAACTCTTTCATCTTCGCTAGGAGCAGCTCTTTGCGGCGCGCACTGGGGGTCAATGATTTCATTGAGCTTTGCTTACTCGACCCGGATTTTGCCGATTTTGATGAAACTTTTGATCGACTAGTTTCACTGACGCAGACCTCTGAAGCTTGATTAGATTCCATATGAGCGCGAGCCTTACCAGTTACTTCATCGTTAACTTTAACTATCCAATCCCACCGTGCAGCCAACTCCGTTAATAATTTGCTATGGTTATCGGTTTTATTAGCTAATATCACAAGTTCATCATTTTTAGCTAATGCTTTTTCGAGACTACTCTTGCAAGATTCAATTAAGGCGTTTATTTTTGTTTTCCGAATTGGTCCCTCTAAACTCTCAGTTATGCGACTGTGAACTACGGAAAGCTCATTTTCTAGTGATGTTCGACCATTCATCAATCGTCGATATTTTAACTCAATTTGTTCTATCATTTTGATTACTTTTAAACTTGTTCACTTCTACTCAACCGCTCAACTGCTCAGTTTGAAAGAAAAAGGGAATAATTAATTTAAGACCTTAACTTTAGTATTAATAAATTATATTCTGACTCATTAAACAATATCACACCTTAGAGAAGCAACTTATTTGACTCCTAGTTGCTGCTCAGCATTTCTTCTGTTTCGATTGGCTTGCCGCTTGCGTTTTCCTGGCTTAGGAGTATTTTTCGTTGAAATAATATACTTCAAATTCTTGCTATAACGCCTAAGGATCGTAAACGTTTTCAGTTCTAGAGAGGGATCCTGGTGTAGTTCTAAGTACTTCTGCCCTAACTCAGTCAGGTTCTGCTTCCTTCTAGATGTCAGGTTTGTTACTATATTAATAACTAATATACCTGACTCTTTCAACTTACTATATATATCTTCCGTGCCTACACGTTTACAGTAAACTATTGCATAAATATTGCATTTATAGTTTAAAAGAATCTTCTTAAGCTGGTTAGAAGTTAGTGCGTTAAAGATATTACTACGGTGTCGACTAATAGAGTTATTAACAGCGCCGTGCCAAATAAAAATGTCGATTCGGTTTAAGAGATAGTGATCAAGTTGATACTGACAAGTTTTACGGACGTTTACTGCGTTATGGTTTAAACTTAACCCGGGAATGGCTAATCACGATTGAGATACACGCTTTTGCGAAGCGGGGGAAAGTATTTTCAAAGCGTGGTGCAGCAAACTAGCAGCTAGTATGAACATTTAGTGAATTAAATCAACTTTAGAGGAAGGGAATCAAGCAAACCGCGACCTGTTCTCTCGCAACACCATGAGCTAACAAGGTTGTAGCAAAAGGTAGGACGATTTGCTTGATAATACGCTACGGGTCCCGACTACGGCTACTTTTATCCAATTGAACTAGTTTAGTTAGCTGCACCACGTTTCAATAATAAACACGGCGTTTTTCAGAATTTTTTTTCGAAAATTTCCTTTTTTTGTCCGAAAATTTTCCAAAATTTTTTTTTTCCGAAAATTTTTTTTCGAAATTTTTTTTCGAAATTTTTTTTCCACGTTTTCACCCATCG